CCGGGCCCGGGGGGGGGGGCCGTTATTAATCACGACACCGATTTCCTGTACGGGAGGAAGCGGGGGGCGGGCGAGGGGGGTCTCCAAGGGGAGGAAGTCCCTCAAAAAGCTGCTTTCCCCCCCCCGTATCTGCCTGCCTGGATGCGCCCCCGCCCCGTCCCTTGTTCAGGGGCTCGCGGGGGGTGTTCGACACCTCCCGTTCCTCCGGTGCCCTCAAGGGGGTGTTGTGACAACACCGGGACCACCGAGGGGGGAATTGGGGCCGTGACATCCCACCTTGGGCAGCGTCTGCTGCTCCCGCTCCCTCCCGTCTGCCTCCAAACACTCCCTCTCCCCTCGTGGAGACCTTAGGGGGACGGTGGTACCCGCAGCACCAAGGGTTCCCTCCTTGAGAATGGAGGGAAGCTGCTTTTTTCCTCCAAGGTAATTTATTTTTTCAAAAAATGTCTCCCCAGAATCTCTCTGCAATTCCTCCCCTCCCCCATTTTTTTAATGTTTCTTTCTCGATGCTGAAGTGTAAGAAGATATTACAGACCTTCTGTCGTGATTAATGAAGCTCTTCTAGGAGGATCTCCCTAACCCTTGTAACATGCATCTCGGTGTCCGCATGTCACTGTTCTTTCCCCATTTCTGTCTCCTCAGGGCCAGGACCCAGACTGTCTGTGATTGTACCAGTGATAACACCAGGCCTCATCAAGGGGCATGAGGGTTATTCAGGACAAGAAGCTGCATCACCTTATCCTTTCTCAAAATCAGCCTTGCTTTTTATTTATTTATTTTTAACTGTCTCTGGCAGTGGGAACTTGAGACCCAGAAGAGTAAACCCTGTAATGAGGTGGAGGGGTTGCCTTAGAGCCTGTTCCAGCCTTATAGTACTCCTTATCTTGTCAGGCTGGTGTTTTTCTCTCCCTTCACTTTTTTTGGCATCTTGCTGTTTTTGAGCCTCCTGCTCTAACTGACTTGCATTGCAGGGGATGATGCTAGGGCATAGCATGTGCTGGGCATAGGGAATATGCCTTATTAAAGTGTCTCCCAATGCCATTTTCCCCCCCTTGTAATTGCAAGCATCTTATTAAACATAATGTCAGGCTCTAGAATGGGGAAGAAGTCTGAGGAGAAGATCTTCTTCCTTTTTTTCTTTTTTTTCCCCCCTTACCACATCAAATCTGTTTTCCCTGTTTTCTCTTGCTGCAGTGATGATAGTGGGGGTGTTACAATTAATAATGGATCTACCAATCTCTAGTGGGAAACTGGAGGCTTTAAGATAATTTCTTTACATCTTTCTTTGGTTTATACTCTGTTTCATTTCCTTGGCTGCTGGCAAGCAATCTGGGAGATGGAGAAGGCATGATGGAGGGGGAGAGCATTCTGTCTTCACTGGATTTCTCCTCCTCGTTTGGTCTTTTTAACCTTGCTGTTGTTGTTGTTGTTGCAGGAGCAGGAGTGCAAGGAGGTGTCATTAACCATAACACCAGGTCTCAGAGTTCAACTCTGGATGGAGCCACCACCACGAGCACCAGCACCACCACTGCAGCAGCAGGAGGAGGATCTGAGGTTACTGCTGCTCCAGGGACCCTCAGTCAGGGCAAATCGGTGGTTATCAGCACGATGGCAACTGCCTTGTCTACCAGGAATGGCAAGATTGGGACCACAACAGTGCAGACTTTGAATGGGAGTAACGTGGTGATGAACTCTCACCACACAGCAAGTGCTGCTTTCTCCGGGACTCCCACCACTGCTAACCCTGCTTCTGCACCTGCTGTTGCCCCTCTAGTTAACAATGGACCCGGATCTGTCGGAAAAGGAAATACTGTTAATGCTGTTTTGCCGTCAGCTTCCAACACTGTCATCCAGACTTCTTTCCTCAATACTGCTGTGTCGTCTGCATCTTCCTCCTCGCCCACAGTTATTTCCTCGCAGCCACCACAGACCGTTGGAAGTGGCGGGTTTTTTTTTCTGGAGCTGGTGCAGCCACTCAAAACGGGAGCAATACTGTGATCAATTCAACCATCAGTGTGGGGAGTTTCCCTGCTGTTGCTACAGCCACTGTGGGATCTGGAGTTGCCCTCCAGACATCACTTGTGAACAGCCAGCCTGGTTCCAGCGTGCCAGCAGCTCCCACCACGCAGGTCATCAAATCTGAGTCTCCAAAAACCATAGTCCAGGCAGTAACCCAACAGCAGACGCTGGCTACTGGTGGCCAGCCCAGTACTACAGGGGGTAACATGATTATTGGGCAAACTATGCAAGCTGGCCTCTCCAATGTTGCTCCCAATCCTGGTGGGATATCTCCTGCAGCTCCTGGCACCCCCACGGGAATAGCTAAAGGCACTGCCAATACAGTGGCACAAAGTCTGCCAAGGACTCCAACAGCAACTACAAGTGGAATCAGAGCAACTTTGACTCCTACAGTTTTAGCACCTCGTTTGCCTCAGCCACCTCAGAATCCAACTAATATTCAGAATTTTCAGTTACCACCAGGTAAGTTAAGGCTTGAGGGTTTTATTTTGGGATTGTTTCTTGTGGGGAGAAAGTGTCCAGATAAGATCTCTTGCTATTTAATTGTGAACTGTGGAAAAGGTATTACATTTAACAGTGACAACTATCTGATTTTTGAATAGTTGAATAGTAGCATTTCGCCACCATCCAGGTGACTAAAATGACATTTTAACAGTAATAATTTGAAATCCATTCTATTTGCAATCTTTGTTACGATGTTCATGTAGGTGAAGCTGTAAACTGGCCCCAGTGCGATAATGAAACATTTGTCAAATGATACGCTGCTATTTCATTTTTCACGGAATGCATTTTGACTTCTAAGTCAGTTTTTCAGGTAGTTAATAGAACCTCAGTGTGCTGTTCTGTCTGTCCTTGCATGCCCCCAGTACTGTACGACTAGTGCTGATGAAAGAGAGGCAACAGATACAACACAAGAAAACTACATTATTTTCCTTTAAAGTCAGACATCGAATGCATTAAAACTCAGAAATCTGAAGATTCTACTGATTTCTTTCCCCCCGCCCCCCTCCGTTGGAGTTCCTGTATAAAGACAGTCTTGCCATGTCCTTACCTCACCCTGGTGTGTGTAGGGTTGCAGCTTTTGTAGTAGCTAGTATCATGCTTAGTGCTGAGCATCTTTGGGCAAGGAGTCTAGTCCTGATCTCTGTGGCTGAGTTAGAGACAGGATAAGAAACCTTTATGTGCTGAGAACTCTCCTGTCCCTCCTTAAATATACTAGATTGGGAGGTGTAAAGTTATATGCTGATTATTACTTTGAACCCGATTGTATCATTTCAGTTTCATTTTTAACTGAAAAATAACCTGTGTGAATCTATCTATAGCTTCCTATCCCTCTTTCATGATGTGTAGTAACGTCTGTCGTCTTAAGATTCATTACTTTGAGTGCGGTATACAAAGAACAAGCAATTAAATTTTACTAGTAGTACCTAATGAAATCAATGGTGTGTGTGTGTCATCTATCTCAGTGGATCTTAGTTTGAAAAAGAATAAATCAAAACTCCTCATTGACCTCAAAGCAGTGCACTTGCTACATAAGGTAGACCAGAAACCATATTGTGTTACTACACACTACCTTTTTGTGTAATATTCTGTTTTGCTGTGTGATGCTATGTAGTTCCATGAATTCTGTCAGCTGCTCTGTATATCTAAGTTTTAACTGGCATATTTTTTTTTTCTGCTGATTTACTGTATAGAAGTTATTCTCTGTGTGAATATTTTGAAAGGGACATGCTGGTAGTTTAGGAAAAAAAAAACAGTAAAACTGAGATCTTGAAATCTCAGTGCTTAATTTGAAGCTTGTAAGTTGATAGAGTGGAAAAGCTTTATTTATTTATTTATTACCACAGTGTATCAAGGGCTTTTTTCAGATTCAACGGCTATTAGTGTATCACTATACCTGTGTTCTCACTAATACTGCATTATAAAGTTGATTAGGGCAAAAATGCTACTGTTATGTCCAGTGTCGTTTTACCAAGTAACCAATGTTCCCAAGTCACTGCCACACGCTGAAGTGTGCTCCACTTCCAAAGTGTTGCCAGGCTTTAAGTCTAATTGAACCATAAATTGCTCCTTTGGAGGTCTCACAAAATCAAAGTAACACTATATAGTTTCTAAATGCTTGCTTTTTATTTTTTATTGTTTGTTGCATGCTTTAAAAATTCTAAGAGTCCAAAAGTGGCATGACTTTTAAAGTAAGCATGTATACATGACTGAATACATAAAATCTGGAAATTGGCTTCTTATGTGATAAGGCAGGCATAATATAAGAAAGGGTTTTAGAACAAATTTTTACGTTTCCTTTATGCTTTTTTACCTTGCTAAAGTAACCAACTTCCAAGAATCTTTTGCATGAAGCATATCTTACAGAACATGAACTGGTGGTTCTTACAAACATCTCACAGGAGTGAGAGCTAAGAACTTTTGTAAATCTACCCATATGCATCTGTTTTCATCTTTAGTAGAGTTCATATACATTCATAGTAAAAGGAGGATAGTTGATCGTGCTTTTAAAATTATGTTTCCAATTACAGTGTGATAGGCTGAACTTTTAAAGGCAGTTTGGTACCTTGAAGCTTCAGCTACAGTGCCTGTGTGCTGTACATCTGCTCTGTGCATCAAATCTGCATGCACAAGTGCATGCTTAAAAGTTAAGGCAGTGTGCTTATAGAAACTTTCAAGGCTTATATCACAAAATAGCTTGAGATGAAATGCTGAACATGTTGCTTTTCGCACAAATGTTTACTATAACTCAGACAATCCTTATGGAAGGTTTCACCATTGTGTAGTACATGGGTTGTAGTTTGTTTTCAAACCCTGCCTTGCTGTTTCTAGCTCTCCAAAGTCCAGTTAGCATTTCATGTAAATGAAAAGCAGGCTGTAAAATGTTGGTAAATTTTACTAACCTAAGACTTGACAAAAAGTTTCTATCCTTTTCTTAAAAGGAGCACATGAAAAAATAAATTTGATTGGCATTCCAATATTGCTTTTATAATAATACTTTGTATTGCATCAAGCTGATTGTGCAACAAACATTGACTGACTAAATTGGAGATGTTTAGGGAGCTAATGGACCAGTTCTTGTGACCTTACTGGATTCTCGTGTGTCTCTTCTTAAATGAACTAGTATTTGTTTGTTTAGATATCCCAAGCCATTCGGGTTATCTGTGTGTTACTAATGGTTTCCCATTATTGATACTTTTGAAGAAGAGGGATTTGGTCTTTTCAGGGGCCTGTGTTTGGAACTTAGTGGTCTGCTTGGACAGATCAGGGTAACGAAGGTCTGAAAATGACCTTATATATAGTTTTTTAGTAAAAACCTGGGAAGGATGCAAATATGATTCTCTTAACATGTGCCACTTCAAATATAGATGCAACATCTTATGAAGCTGCATCTGCAAATAAATACGTCAAGTTCTTTGCTTCAAAGTACTTCAAATAATAACCTGAAATATGGTGCATTCAATGATCTGATAAGACATAGAAAAAGCTGTGGATTTATTAAAACATAGAGTCAGTGTTTGCTGTTACAGATGCTCAGAAGAGTCTCTGGAAAAGTATAACCAAGATTAGGAACTCTTACGTTGCAAGAGGTTAATCTTGGGGCATGAAGTGTCTGGAGGTCATCGCTGACATGTGGTAGAATCATCTTGTAGAGTGACCGAATTGTATGCTTTAAAATCCTTTTTCAAAATACTGTCTTCTCCTGCAGTGCTGTAATACAGTTTCAAAACCAAAGGCTATGAGCTTCTGCTTTAGCAGTGTTGTAAATTTCAGAGTTCAAGTTTTTGGTTTCTCTTCTTACATTGTTGCATTGTTGCCCAACAAGGTACAAGATCTGTGTGAATTTGTATGTTTTCTGCTGTGTATTTGTGTGTGTATATACCTGCAGCCATCGCTTTATAATCGCTAAGGTACCTCCTTAAAGAAAGGAGCAGACTGGAGAGAGGGCTGTGGATATGCAGGAAGATCAATGTGCAGCTGGCAGCTCTGGACAGTTTTCTCTACTGGCTTAGGTGAAACTGGAATCTAGAACCTCCCTCTTCCTCCTGTCCCCTTCTTTTCTCCACCCCACTTTTTAGTGAATTTTAATACTTACAAAAATTTGCTAGTTCGGTACTTCTAAAGACTAAAATTATTCTGTGTATAAATAAAATTGTGATGGTCTTAATTCTGTTTAAAGATAGGATAGAATCTATTGTTTTTATGGTTTACTTATTTTTTGACTTTGGAGCTTATGACCAATGTCCTCATTAGCAGTAATGGAGTTGTGCAGCTCTAGTAACACTGCTGTCACCCATTTGTGCAGTTTTCTATCTGATAATAGAATTTCTTTATTACTATTCCAAACCGCAGGTGCCTCTGTCAGTAGCAGGGGGACGAGGCCAGACTGCTTTGCTGCTTTCTTTTTGGGGTGTCTCCCGTGCTGTTACTCTTGTTACTACAGACTGGGTCCTTTTTCCACCCCGCAGAACCGTCAAACTGCTGGGGCTCTTTTTAAAACTGACTGTTCTAGAGTTCTGAACGGTGCTGATGCAAATGAGCTCTACGGTTGGTCTTGACTTACCGGCGATGCTTTCTAGGAGCCAAAGGCCTCCGCAGGCCCCTTGGAGCTGTACATCAGTGGAGCGAGGAAGGCAGGCTATGGCCACCTTGAAGGTTTACTTAAACTTGACTGGCTTTTAAATAGAAGGTTAACGTTGTGGAAATCAGTATATAGGTTTTTCTCCTTTAGCTTGTGTTAACTCACCAAGAAAGATTCAACTTCCCAACTCCCTGCTTCTCAAGCCTTGATTATGCTGGCCTTGGGTCGGGAAAAATACCCAAGCACACGCTTTATTTAATGCTTTTGTTTGGGTGCTTTTGACTTGAGCAGTGGTACTTTTTGGAGCTGGAGTCACTGAAAATATTTGCATGACAAGCCTGATTTC